CCAGAACGAGATTTGTTGGATGTATAATTCGTCTCGGCACCAAAGTAATAGCTCAAATTAAACACATAGAACCTGATTATATGGTGAGAAAGGCCTTCGGCCTGACACCATGTCGGAGTTTAAATTGCTGCCGATTCATTTGTAAGTTTAGTACATGAGAAATGATTCACTACTTTGTATTATGACACTTACTGTTGTGCTTGTTGACGTTATGGATGAATGCAATAGTTATCTCAGATGATGATAATGTTTCCATTTCGTCTATGATGGCATATGCTTTGCTTGCATTCAGATTGAATGGAAGTTGAATAAAGAAATGAGTGCAATTTTTTCTCCCACAAGTACATGAAATACTTTGAAGGAGTAGATTTTAACTCATAAAATGCAATCTTCGAGTGTAGTTTGAATCAGCTAAGGTCGTGTGAAGTCCAGATGTATCAAGAAGTACTTGCTATGTATCGTAAGATCAATAAGAACAGCTCAGATCTCATGCTTGAAGAAAAAGGAAACCGAAAGCTTAAACGAAGCTTTAGAAGTTGCAAATAATATCACATATTGTGGAGAATTGCATGCGAAGTTATAGTCAATCATCACTGAATTCACTATTTTCTTGGGTTAATCATTCAGTAAAATACATCTTTCAACGCCAGATCGCTATCAAGAATTTGTCAATACAGACCAAGATTTTAGGAGAAACGATCTCGAGAAAGGACAGATATATGCATTTTTGCTTGATGATGCTTGTAAATAGTTAATTCAGCATGATAGTATCAACTTCTTTTCCTTCGTATTATTAACTTCTTTCTACAAACCTTGACCTCCGTGTGTATGTGTAGAGAGAGAGAGAGAGAGAGAGAGAGAGAGAGAGAGAGAGACTCTTCTTATATTACAGAAGGGAGTAAGGTTCACAGAGCAGGGGTTGACATCCATGCGTGGTCTACGCACCTGTAACCTATTCATGTACTCTTAGCACGTATGGCATCTCACATGCTGCTTTACTCCAACCGTACTTTCAGGAACCATGGCTTCATCCTGTGCCACTGACATTTCCGCCATCTCCCGGCATGTATCCTGGACTATTCACCCAGTTGTTGTACTGATCTCTGGGTATGGCGTGATGGTTATTGGTGTCGGCATCAGAATAGCCAAACCTTTCCACTCCTTGCTCTCCCTCATCAGCTTGGCCTCCTCCATGGATGTCGTCTTCGAACAACACCTTCCTTGGCATCACTGAGCATGAGTTCATCACTAGAACTCCAAGCAAGAGAATCCCCACCAACTTCATCCTTTCTTTGGCTACTCTGAGAGAATGATTAATGTAGGCAACATAACAATATACCTAACTTGAGAGACCTGAAAGCATAAGATAAATCTCACCAACACAAGAGAGGAAGCTTCAGACAGAGGTATGAAGGTTCTTACTGCGAGCTGGTGGTTCAGTGAGTATTGGGGCTGCTTTTATAGGCAAGAAATGTTACTGCCTCCTTTTTTTTTCCCCTTCTTTGTCTGAAGGAAGAAGAAGAAGATATGTCACTGTTAAGAGTTGGTATTCCATAGACTTTTTTCCTTCGTGGATTCTCCACCAATTAAAGACAATATCAAGTGGGCACACAAATTAAACGGCAAAATGATGGGTTAATGGAAAGTGTTTTTCGTCTAGATCATCGGGAGCCTAATGGGAGGTGAGCTGTGGCGTTGCTTGGTGATGTAAAAGAGCATTACCCACCTAATTAAATTTGCATTTGTCACCATATTTGATTGGAATATCTTCTATTAACAAAAGAATTAACAGTCGGTGCGTTTGAATTTTTAATATACATTTGGCGAAAGAAATTTGAGTGAATGTATAACTATAAAATAGTTTGAGTGTTTGATAAATAATAAATAAAAAAATATTATAAATATATATATTGATATAAGTATTGATTGGTAAAATTATATTCCAAAAACTTATTGAATATTATGTGATAAATCTAACCATATAACATTTTTAATATTTATTCAAATGTAAATACATATTTTTATTTGAATACTATAAAATAGTTTGAGTGTTTGATAAATAAAAAATAAAAAATTATTATAAATATATATATTGATATAAGTATTTATTGGTAAAATTATATTCCAAAAACTTATTGAATATTATGTGATAAATCTAACCATATAACATTTTTAATATTTATTCAAATGTAAATACATATTTTTATTTGAATACTATAAAATAGTTTGAGTGTTTGATAAATAATAAATAAAAAAATATTATAAATATATATATTGATATAAGTATTGATTGGCAAAATTATATTCCAAAAACTTATTGAATATTATGTGATAAATCTAACCATATAACATTTTTAATATTTATTCAAATGTAAATACATATTTTTATTTGAATACTATAAAATAGTTTGAGTGTTTGATAAATAATAAATAAAAAAATATTATAAATATATATATTGATATAAGTATTGATTGGTAAAATTATATTCCAAAAACTTATTGAATATTATGTGATAAATCTAACCATATAACATTTTTAATATTTATTCAAATGTAAATACAAATTTTTATTTGAATTAATGAGTGAATAAATATAATCTTACAAAAATTTCTTATGACCCAGATATATAATAAATAAATAATATAAATATAAATAATTATTAAAAATAAATATATAAAGTTTCACCTTATAGAAGCCAAAAAAATCAAAGGGTTAGGATTTCTAATATACACAGGTGATCTTATAATTTTAAAATTTTAACAAAATACTTTATAAATGTTTTTAAAATTTTTTTAGTATCTTGTAAATACTGAAATGATAGTCTTTGAGGATAATATTAGCATATAGCATTTGATTTAAAATTTTTAGTATCTTGTAAATATGATTTTAAAAAATTATAAGTATTAATTCATATCTAAAATATGAATTAGATCCTCAATACATGCATCTGCCTGCCTGTGGGAACAAAAGGACAGTGTTCACTACTAGTAAGAATTGAACAAATGGCACACAAAATGAACTCTTTAGATCAGGTGATAGATTCTGAATCGGTTCATTGTCAGATGCCAACCCTTTCACCAACATGCGTAGCCCACGATCTTTACATGCGTCTCTATGGATGTCTCCAGAACATGTTTCTTCCGGTCAGAAGCTAAGTTAAGAATGTGAAATAGGATTGCGCACAACAAAACCCTAGAGTCCGTCAAGAGGAACGCAAGCAAGAGAGAGAGAGAGAGAGAGAGAGAGAGAGAGAGAGAGAGAGAGACTGTTCCACGTTTTAGAAGCCACCATTTATTTACTAAGGTAAATCGAGTTGACATTTACGTCCATGAATGCATGGTCGAGACTCAGGCGTAGTACGACGCACTTGTGGCCTATGCGTGTCCTCTTAGCATATACGATATCTCATGCAGCTGAAGCAAGCTTTGGGAACTCTGTTTTCAACCTGTGCCACCCACATTTCCGCCATTTCGGGGGACGAACCCGGGACTGTTGACCCAGTTGTTGAACTGACCTCTGGGAATGGCGTGATGGTTATTGGTGTCGGCATCAGAATAGCCAAACCTTTCCACTCCTTGTTCTCCCTCATCGGCTTGGCCTCCTCCATGGATGTCGTCTTCCATCAACACCTTCCTTGGCATTACTGAACCTGAGTTCATAACTAGAACTCCAAGCAGCAGAATCACCACCACCACCTTCATCCTTTCTCTGGCTCCTCTGCAAGAACATAAGACGCATGCATCATGACAATATATTCGACTACAAAGATCGTCCGAAAGCATAAGAGAATTCTCACCAACACAAGAAAGGAAGCTTCTGAGAGAGATATGAAGGTTTATACTGTGAGCTGGTGGTCCGGTGGGTACTGACTGACTGATATTTATAGAGAATAAATGGCAGTCTTTTTCTCCTTTTTTTCTCTTTTCTCGAAGGAAGAAAGTAGATTTGCTACTGTTAAGAGTTGAAGTTAAGTAAAGCTTTTCCTTTATGGATTCTCCACCGGTTGCAGACAATATCAAGTGGGCACACAAATTAAACGGCAAAATGATGGGTTAATGGAAAGTGTTTTTTACCTAAATCCTGTGGCATTGCTTGGTGATGTAAAAGAGCATCACCCACCTATTTATGTTTGCATTTGTCGGCAGGTCTGAGAGGAATTACTTGTTCAGATTTCGTTTGCTTATATGTGAATTCAATGTAGGGACAGTTAATTGTGAAAGAAGAATCCATAGTTAACAGTGTTTACTGTTAATGCAGTAAGAGTCAATCAAATGACATGCAAAATGAATTCTGTTCGACGTAAGTCCTTGTCCAGCATCCGTGGCTTACAATTTGATGAAGGATGACGGTGCACACAACAGAACCCTAATTTATGGAATCAGTGAAACATATCATTTTTCTAGGAAAAGGAGTTATGCTTACAAGAAGAACAAACGCCTTTGTAGAGGTTTCCGGTCCTTTCTCCACAGGAACAAGGAAACACTCGTTATTTTCTGGCCTAAATTCCAACCAAATGAAGCTTTATTTTCTGACTAATCAAATTTGAAAGCAAATAGAACAAAGGAATCATATCTCATACAACTAGAAATAAAAAAAATTACATACACATAAATAGAAAATGATGAATTTTTTTGTTTGGTGCCATAAGATGCATGCATAAAAAATGTATCACTCTATGAGCAAACTATATAAGAAAACTAAGTGCTTCAAAGGAATTGAAACTATGTATGCTGATGAAAAGAAATAGCTTGTTAGCAATGATTACCATGCCTTGTTTCAGTTCACTCGACTAGTAATTGTCACTTCACTGTCTTGTTAAACTGGTTGTGTTCTTATGTACCTTCCATACGACTCCCTGTCATCTTCTATCCGTTTCTGAATCATTTGCATCTGGATGTTGATTGTTAGATGTGTCTACTTGGAGAGGTTTCAGGATTCTGTGCTGCTGATGGATTTGGTCATCTCTAGATCTGGCTTATCATGTCAACTATTGAGTAGCTAATCAACACTAACAGTGGGCATTACATGCCTTCACCTATCTCATCAGCAACCCCCCCCCCCCCCCCCCCGAGTTCATTATACTCCATGTTCCACTTCCATCCATATGCCTCGATGTTTTCTTGGTCCAAGTACTTGTATCCACGATTTGATTCTTGATGCATGCGAGCTTACAAATTGTTGGGAAAAACCTATTAAAGTGAAATAATTCTTTTTCCTCTTTGTATCAAAATGGGTTCCTCATCAAAATTTTAACTTGATATCAAAATGCAAATATCAACTAGAACAGCATAAACAATAGAGCAATAAATCAATTACATAGTGAGACCAAATTTTTAACGTGGAAAACCCAATACGGGAAAAACCACTGGACCGTAGTCCACCTCAAACTTCTATTATCAATAGTAATGATAAGAGGTTTATAGTAAATCTTCTCTAAAATAATCAGAGGATTATAATAACATTAAGAACATAGATCTTGGCTCAAGAATAGTATATCATCATCACATATGATGAATTTGAGAATTCTAGGTCTCACAAAATGGGTATAGTAGAAAAGTACCTCAGAGAGGGTAAAATACAGATCAACACTATTAGGATTATAAAGTTTGCTGCAAAGATTCTCCACATAAAATTTGGGCCAAAATTGACTACGTTTAACTACTGATCGTCAAGCATAAAACTTAATATTTTAATCTTTCTATTTCTCTCTCTCTCTACGTGCCACGCTGCTGCACGCGTTTGCTGTGCACGCTTTGATCTCTCTCTCACCTTTGCTGCCCTATATCTCTTTTGCCTTTTAATTAATGATTTGAGCTCCAAAGGCCCAATTGTCCAAGCCCACATATGGGCTGGACCCAACAATTCTCCCCCTCTAGCTCATATGGTGGGCTATACCAAGCCCGCTCTTCGCCTACATGCTTCAACCTTTTCTTTAGGTAAAAACTTTGTTAACATATCTGAACCATTCTCATTAGTATGCACTTTTTTCAATTGTAACTCTTTCATCTCAAGCACATCACGAATCCAGTGACATCTCACATCAATATACAAAGATCTAGAATGGTATGTTGAATTCTTGGAGAGGCGAATGACGCTTTGACTATCACAGTAAACAGTATATCCTTCTTGTTTCAATCCCAATTCCTATAAAAACTTTTTCATCTATAAAGCTTTCTTGCAGGTTTCTGTAATTGCTATGTATTCTGCTTCTGTAGTTGATAGAGTAACACAATTCTGTAACTTAGACTGCCAAGAGATTGCTCCCCCTACAAATGTCATCAAGAACCCCGAAGTGGACTTCCTAGAATCAGTATCACCTACCATGTCTGCATCTGTGTAGCCTTCTAACACAAGTTCATCATTGCCAAAACATAAACATAACCTGAAAGTACCCCTTAGATATTTTAATATCCATTTCACTATTGTCCAAT